AGAGAGAGAGAGAGAGAGAGAGAGAGAGAGAGAGAGAGAGAGAGAGCAAATCAGGTTTTCAGATGGATTATTTCACCTCACACTTGGCGGACATTCAGAGGTGTTTCTTACTGGAGCCACGAGCCTGAGAAGAGAAGGGAGGGGCACAGGCGATGGTCCCATCCAGAGCCAGGATGTTAATGATTGATGTCTGCAGCTGACTCAGGACAAGTATTAGCTAAGGAGAAAAACAATACTTGATCAGGTACATACTATACAGTGTACATGCAGTATCAGTATTTTTCACCAGGAGTTGGGTTTTATGGCACAAAACAAAGGGGATTGGTGTTAAAACCCTGTTGCTCTTTCAGTGTACTCTTTTGCTACATTGAATAGGATGAACACACTAGAAGGTATTGTTCCACCAGGCCCTCACTCACTCCTTTATTTGCCATTGTAAAAAGAATTGAGAAACGTGTACTAAAAGTTAAAAAAGGAAGATAAGCTAAGTTGTCTTTTGAGATTGCAACATATGATATTGGTTGTATTGACTCACCTGGTAGAGGGCATACTTGGGTACAATTTTGATGTCGCGTAGAAAGCTGTTGGTGTTCATAAAGATGATGGCAACAGGCCAAAGGGAGATGATCGTGAGAACGCCAATAAATGGGTTAATCCAAATGGCTGTACCAGTGATCTCTAGCTGAAAAAGAAGCAAAGAGATATTTAAATTGCATGTCATGTTAATTACATTTTCATTGCAGAGAGAGAAGCATTCCAAACACTTACATCAGCGAGATCAAAGTTGCCGTTTGTCCACAACACAATGGAGAGGAGAGAGAGCACCGTCTTTAGGATTGCATACTGAAGAACACCCAACTTCAGGTAGAAAAACAATCGCCTGGATGATGAGAAATGTACACAATCATAAGACAATGTACATTCAACGAGTACACAATGCATGTAAATAAGAGCAGGATTAAATAACTATAAAAGTATGCAGTAAATAACAGAGGCCTCAGTTATTAGAACCAGAGCAGTCACACAGACTGTATTTGAATAACAGGTATAAATACCGTGACATGGGCACGCGGGGTAAACAGAGGCAGCAGCAGCAGCACGGTCCTGTGCGGATTTTGAAGGGTTTACCGGAAAACCGCTTCAGGAAAGCATCGGTACCCCCAAACTCCTCGATAATCAGAACCAAGACCTTATACACCACCACTGCAAAATAACTACACGGAGAAGGAGAAGAGATTTAGGCCTGTTCATAGAGAGCAGGTAATAAATCTGAACAAGCACTCGTGGAACTTTACGTTCACAGTGCGTGATGTTATGCCTGGCTGTGTCAAAGGCAAAAAGGATTTCTGTTATAACCTGGAAGTCGATGTCAAAGAAGATAACAGTAGTGGTGAGTGAGATGTAGCTACCGGTCACAGCTATTAGATAACAGACTTGGAAAAATACTTTTACTGTCAGAAAAGGAAGCAAGTACAGATAAGAGTGAACATCAAAAGGTACAGGTTCATATATATTTATATTTCAGCTTTTTAGAAATATCAGCGAAAGGAAGACTCTACTGTATGTGAAAATACTTTTCCCTGAGTACTACTTTAGGTGTAGTTGAGAGAAAACGTACCAGTTAGACGTCATGTCAGTGAACATGACGGCCCTCGGGATCCACATCCCAAAACAAGACATGGTGCCAATGACCTGAAACAGAGCAATACATCACGTGCATGAATTTAGATTTCATCTTGTTTTGCAAAGGGCCTCGCAGCCGAGAGCTTGAAACTTATTTCACAAATAAAGTGGTTGATATTGGATTGATTATTAGAATGAGCGGGTTTATTATTATTTTATCAAAACAGGCCCGAATGCTTACTGGTGCTGCACCACTTATCCACATGAGGGTCGTCTTCTTGGGGTAGGGCAGTTTTTTATAAATATAGGCGCACTGCTCCAAGTACAGCAGCAGGGAGACGCAGGACATGAAGGTGAGTATGGAGTACAGGCACAATCCAAACGCATCTAGCTCTGATTGGAAACGGAGAGCAGGGGGGAGAGAGGGCATTATTTCATAGTACAGGACATATATACTGTATATATTTTACACTTTATGCCAAAGAAATACACACAAGCGGCACAAAACTGATTTTGCTTGGGTTAAATATGATATTGTATTTTAAACAGAGGCAAATAAAAGAAGAACTCAATATCACGTGGTTCATTCAAGACACACAGCTGCACGCGACACTGCTGAGTGAGTTGTTAATGTCATTAGCTCTGGTTGATAAGGAAACATTATCAGCAAGCAGGATGTGGTAATATGGGTCACTTACGCTTTATCACGTCCATGGCCAGCGGAGGCTTTTGTAAACAAGCTGGATCAATGGTGCTGTTGATAGTTTCCTCCATGACATGCAGATATTCCTCTTAAAAAATACACTGAAGTTCAAACAGAAATGTCTTTTGACCGAACTCTGAAGCTATTTCAGTAAATTACAAGGTCTACTTAAATGATTGATCTCCCTTTAGCTTGCTGTGTCTGCCGGTGGATTTAGTCGCAGATTGAACAGCAAGTGTACTTTACCCAAGAGGTAACTTTGAAGGAGTGAAGGTGGGATGACACCTTAGGAGTTTATGAGAACACCTCGTTATAGTCTCTCATTCATTCACAGACTTAAGTCACAGTCATTTAAAATAACACAAAGGTCAACGTTTAAGTTGTAAGGGTGAGACCCATTGAGTGTGTCAGGAGACATGAACTTTGACAGGGTGTGTTGTTTCCTTCACAGTAAATATAGGATATAAAAAAAGATCAAGGAATTTCCTTCAAGCCTAAGCAATGAGAAATGTATGTATTTTATAATTATGTTTCAGTGCCATCAGTCCAACATACACTACATTACATTCTTTACATTAGTTTGTTATTATTTCGTCAGTTCTCTCTTCAAATCTATTCTAAATCTAATCAATTTATGTTGTGAGCGGCACTCTAATGCAGGCAGAAAACACCTTGGGACATAAGGGTTGTTTATTCAGGTTCGACTGAAATAAACCTGTTTATTTCAATTTTCATTAGATGTTTTTTGAAAGATTCACCTTTTACACAGAAATAATCAGTAAATGTCAGTTGGAGAGACAAATGAAACGCATTCACTGTTGCAGAAACCGCCCTTCTTACACTTTGTTTGTGACCTATTGAGAATGTCAGTATGACGTCAAAGTGGGACACTAAACATAAATTAATAATGGAAAATTAAAGGTTTGATGATTAAAAAAAATAATTCTTACAAGGAAGCTATTACACGTTCAGAGGGTTTGCTTTTTCCAAAGTAAAGTACGAGTGAGAGGTGAATGGCACTGAGATCATTCACCTTCTTCTGGCTTGCTTCCCAATCGTGTTCCTCGCTTATCATGTTCCTGTGACAGATAAAGTCAAGAAGCATGAAGTGATTGTCTGAACAGGTCAGCAATACTTGTGTCTACTTCTGTCCTAACGGGAACATGAATATTTGTTCTAAATTGTATGGAAATTCATCCAATAGTTGTCGAGAAAGTTTACCATCAGCCAAAAATATCATCCAGCTGTGGCTCTGGAGGAAAAGTCGGTAAGAGTCATCCTCTGGGGATCATGAATGTCTGCACGAAATGTCAAGGAAGTCCATCCAATAGTTGAAGAGCTATTTCAGTCTGGATCAAAGTCGTGGCACACATCAGCATCCTCTAAAAAATAAAGACGGAACCAGAAACATCTGTATATTGTGCATGACTTTTATGTTTAGAGTACAAATGAAGTTGTAACAGTCAGTATTTGATCACAAATGCTCCATCGTCACATTTGCATCCCTTTTTTCGATTCCCACTACAAAAACATCCGATATAACCCCAATCTGATGACTTATTTTCAAGATTTTGAGGAACCTGGCAGAATCATGTGTCATATAAAACACATCTGGACAAATCCACACTGATTACGATCAACTGTTCTCCACAGTCCACCGAATTTTAATTCCTCTCGTTTGTTAGAAATCACAGTGCACCAGTGGTTAAAATGAAGACTCACATACAGTTTCTTAATCATTTATTGTTACAGAACAATGGTCACCCTGCATGAACAATTTTGTCACAAAGAATAAGAGTTATTTACAGGCCTAACTACAGTAGCAGCTCTAGCTGCTTGGGATTAAGCCAAGTTCAGTCAGTGAAGTTAGTAATTAAACTACTGTGAGAATGTGTCACATCTACACATTACTATTATTGTCTACTGGTCACTCAGGCAAACTACACACTGCGCGTTCTATCATTTCCACTATAATGAATGTAACACAATAAAGCAGGTGCCGTGAGCACAGAGAGGAGCATGTGTGATGACGCTACTCTTTCACTACAGCTATATAAAGTCTACCTTATCTATCCTGGTCCAGGCTCAAGGACATAGTATCCAATGAGTTTTATTGTAGTTTCATTTTGTGCTCCTACTTTCCAACATTTAAATGCAGCTTATTTAAATGTTTATTTTATTTAAACTAGAAAAAAAGAAAAAGAAATAAAGAAGAGATTTATTCATTGGCATTAAAACACAAGATTCAGTAAGTTAAAAAATACACACTGTCGCAAACATTATGAAAGTGAAAACATTCTGTGGAGCAGCACAATACGCATTAAAACAACTAATTAAATATAAATAAAATAACTCATTGCAATAAAATGAATACATTGAAAGACCATTTATAAAAGCTTGAAAAGCAATGAAAATAGCAATCTCATTGACAAAAAAATACTCTCAAGTATTGGTGTTTGAAATGAGATGAAACCATTTTAAATAAGTTTAATATGTTTTGGTTCTTACATTTTATTTGACAACAGTATAAAATTTGAAATGAAAAAAATAAATATCTTAAAAGTGTAAACAGAAAGCCCTTTGACCATTTTCAACCATGTAAACTGTATTATACCACCACTGACTGCTGCTCTTCATAATTGCACTGTGCTTGGAGTTTAAAACTCACACTGTTGAAACGTCATACTTTATAACGTTATACTTACTCGCTTTAGTGGCTCTCTTTTAGCTATTAATGCTGGATTAATACTGACAAAAGGCTGTTTCTCTAGTAGGAATGTATAATGTGATTAATTCATGAATATCAAACACAGAAAATGTAGACACATGGCTCAAGATGCAAAAAGCAGTCCCAGAGTTTTTCAGATGCAATAATAACAAAACATCATTTGAATGTCTATGGCTCAAAACAAAGACGAAACCTGTGAATCACCTCAGACTGGTGCAGTCCGCTGTCGAGGCCGCTGTACAGTCCCTGTTGACACGACAACAGTGTTGTTGTGGCGCTGTTTTAAAGCACGCTGGATGAAGGACGGTCCATTTAAAGTACATAGAAAACATGCGTCTTGAGGCTGCACTGTCAAACTCAAAAGGAGGGTGGAGGACGGCTCCTGTAGAGGCGCTGATGCTCCCGGTTTAAGGCATCGTAGTCTACTGATGTGCCCGAGACCTGCAGCAACAGCCAAAGTACAAATAAAACACACGAGGACAAACCAGCAAAACTCTACAGTATTCACATCATGTTCACATACCGGCTACGGCTCGCACTCCATCGTCACCGAGGCTATCTGGCCTCCGTCTGAAAGTGGTGAGGACACAAGAGAGGCTCCAGGAACTGTTGAACAGTGGATTTTTGAGCAGGAAAGTAAATACAAAACATTTGAAGTAACTACAAGGAACTTTCACTTTGTGTTGATTTCGGGCCTTGTGTCTTAAAGATCAGCAGCTGCCAGACTCCCTTAAGAACACCTCTCATTGTACTGCAGCAGGGTCAGAGTCTGCTCTGCTCAGCCTCAGCTGAAGGAATTTCTGGTGAACCTGAGTTTTGTAAATCGTTTAATTTGATGTTGTGAGGAATCTGACCCCATGACAAGCATTCAGAGTAACTATATAGAAATAGCCAATACGCTTGCTGATGTTCTTGTTTTTTATTGTAGGTCGTATAGAGGCATCAGTATTGAATTAAGACTGTTTCATAACCAGTTCAAAGTTCCTTGTATTAACGCAAACATATAGGCCACAATGCAACAAATGAAAACGTCAGAAGAGGCATCAACAACAAACCGTTCTTTTCTTTGCCGTCGTCCGCTGTGTGTTGAATATTGTTACCGAGCACACAAGGGTCGGCCTTCCCATCACCAGAGCTGTAAGTAAAGTTGTACTACAGGTTAAAACCCAGGAAACAGAACTGAAAGGAAATGGATTCAATATTTGAAAAAATAAATAAATAAATAAAACTATACTAGCCTTTTGCCGTTTTGCTGGAGGACACTGTTTGCTTGTTCAGGATCTATGTGTACCAATCTGGTCACAAAGGAATGTCCATCTCCCAGACTAATAAAAAAAGAGAAAAAAACAGAATAAGTAAACATGTTAGCACTGGATGGATTCAGGGTGAATTGTACTTTTTGGTATTTACACCATTAAATTCTTACTTCAACACTAATGATAGAAATTAAGTTTATACATCCGCTACTTCAGACCCAAACCTAAGCACAGTGTAAACATACAGTAGCAGTGCCTATTTATGTGTATATCATTTTAACTGCATGTATATCAGTTACAAATACACTCGCCTTGAGAAAACAGGAAACATCCAGTACTTCGCTTGGTCTCCGAACACCTCCGCTGCATTTCGGCTAAAGCCTAGAGAAAACCCGTTCTTGTCTTGACCGTTTGTGAAGACGGGAGCCCGAAAAGCTTCTGAAATAGATGTAAAAAAAAAAAAAAAAACAGTCAGTAAGTGGCGACTTTTAAAATGATGTAATAAAAAGTTTAAATAAATTGCATGTTCATTTATAGCTACCTATAGTAGTCCTGTTCTTTCCCACAAGCCACATATGGTAGCTGAAAAGTGACAGGATGCTGATGAAGAACAGGGCAGCCACGAAAAACAGAAACAAGATGTGGAATTTGGCGTGCGTGTCAGGCAGCCGTTTCTTCAGAGGGGAAAAAAATAAATAAATAAATTTAAAAACAATAAATTAATTAAAAAAAAAAAAAAAAAAAAGTGTTAGTTTTTCAGTCTGTAAGAATATTTCCTGTTCCCATATAAATTCATCTAAACAGCCGTCTGCAGGAAAGTAGAAAAGCAAACATTTGTTTCTTATTTTGTTGCCTCACTGCAACATTTATCTTAGTGCAAATATTCTTTTGCTTTAACACAATACGCTCCTTCACTGTTGGGACGACATGACAAGAGCCATTGTCTCGTGCAGAGCAGTATGCTGAAGAGGATCTCCTGATAAGTGATCACATGACACACTTGTGCACCACAACGACACACACAGTAAACAGGTCGATAACTTACAATGCAATCATCACATGCCTGACCGCGCTAGAAGTTTTAATTTAATTAACAATTCTTTTTAAAACAGTTTCCAATGGTGGCTTCTCAGACGGCTTCTGTGTAACAGAATGCAGAACTTATAAGTAAAATGGGCGTCAAAAGAGCCGACAACCACATTTAATAAACAGCGACCACAGCAAGCACCATGCACAAGAGCCTGCCACTAAAATAGAGGAATTTCCTGTACTTACTGTCCAGAATTTGATGAAATACTTGATGACTGTAGCACAAATGACTGCACAGTAGAGTGAGGCGTAGGCCAAGAACAGCACAAAGTACTTGTAGTTTGAGAATCCAACACAGTTATTCACCCTGAATGAAAACACGACAGAAACAGGACACACAAAGAAAACTGATCATTTGCTGACAGACACCACGGCAAGCGACCCCCCATCATGATCATGATGGAATAAAAACAGGTTAGATGAGAAAAGCCTACCAGGGGCAGTGATGGTCCATTTTCAGCACACACCTTGAAGAAAGAGAAAAAGGAAAACATAGATCCTATTAGTACCAACTAGTAGATGTCAACAGACATTTTGATGACCCAAGTACCCAGAAAGACTTACAATGCACAAACAAATGTAGAAAATGCATAGCGCCCAATATTTTAAGAAGAAATGTGAACTTATCTGTGTTTATGTTGCACTTTAAAAGAGCAAAAACATACTTTGTTTTACTATTTTATTGACTTATGTCTCAACAGAAACACAGTTCTCTTCACTTCCTGTTACCAGAAGCTTCAATGTTAGCAGCGGACAGAAATCATTTTTTAATGTTTGGGAACATAAAATCTAAAATCAGTTTAAAAACATCGGCTCCTTCGGGGGAAACAGAAGAAGAAAAAGGTTGAGCCTTAAATTCTACAGCGTCTACACTTAGAAAACACTCACATCTCACAGGTCGAGCAGTGATGGCAGCGGTCAGGTTTGATAATCTGGCAGTGGTCGCAGTATCGAACAGCTATTTAGAGAAAATGAAATAAGAATTATTAAAAGTTCTGCTACAACACTATTCCTGTTGTATGACAGGCAGTAGCATCACGGTGTATGTGAGGTCACAGACATCTAAACAAAACATTAAAAGTGTGTTTTTCTGCATTCACTTTTCCGTTGTTTAGAAATGTCCAGCCCTTTAAAAATGGTTCAACTACAAATTCACCATCTACATCTCATTAATTCTATAAGTTGAATAAAGGTTGATAGTGGTACTGTGTCTTTTTAAATGTAGCTGGGAAACGGAGTCGGTGAGATCATGATTGTTGTTCGGTAGATGAACCAGGTGTGGCCTGTGGAGATAACGAGGTGCACCCGAGTCAAATTAACCCTCCAGATACACAAGGCAGAAAGCAACCGATGGGAGTTGAAATAGGAAACAAACAACAGTCGGTTCTGCAGCTGCGGTGAAAGCCTCACCTCCTCCTGCCGTGCGCGTGTACACGGGTAAATTCCTCGCCACCTTCTTCAGAATCTCTTGTTGCGTCTCGGCTCGCTCCTCTCTCTCGAACAGTTCCTTCTCCACTCTGGGCAGACTGAACTATCAGGAGGAGGAAGGGCTGGGAGTCAGAGACAGCCTAACAATCTGTAATGGACTGGTTTTCTATACATGTATATTTACCACATCATAAACATGAAAATAGGTTGTGTGTTCATGAGATTCTTGGCTTACTGCTTTTGAGGCTCCGGCTGGTCTGGACCATATAGTTTTCCAGTAGGACCATATAAACATGGTGAGGAAAATGTGAAAGAGGACCAAATAGCTGACTGTTGAGAAAAGGAAAATGGTTAGATTTGCATTTACGACGGCATCTCTGACACAGACTTTACTATGAATGATGATCACGTACTTCGTTCTGGATTATTTGGGATTGTATCTACAAAAAGCAAAAAACATATCAGCAAGCAGTAATGAACGTCCAAAGAGTGCATGACTACACATCCCCCAACACACACACACACACACACACAACCCCTTTCTCACACCATGTGGCAGCAGCCTGGCACCACCAGCAGTGACCCCCCCAATAACAGAGAGCTTTGTTTAAGCAGCAGGGACGTCGCTGAGTTACAGACATAACTACAGTACTGCTGATAATGCAGATAATGGTATCATCAGTTCCAGGCTGGAACAAACCTACTGTGTGTGTGGGGGGATACCATCAATATTCATATAAACTGCTTTCACACCTGCTTGTTGACAAAGCACAGTTGTATGTAATTTCAAATCTCTTCGTCTGAAACAATAATTTGCCTCTATGTTCATGGCTGCATGTACTACTTATTACACGTGTTTAGGTGAAGACGGTTTGGTAGCTTGTTCCTAAACAGTTGAACGGGAGGCCATTATCCTCCCATAGACATTGAATAACCTATGATGCATCATTCGGTTAAATTATAGCACAGGATTTTACAGCTGGCTTTTCAAGGTTTACCCATTATTGCTCTCACAACCATTTAGAATAATAATTCACCATCATTGTCATTTGTAAAATGTCAATTTGTGGTCAATATATATATACATAAACTCAAAATAAATACATGCTATTAAGGTGGTATGTATAAACAAACAGGATACAACAACAACTGTAAATTGTCATTTAAACATACGTGTAAAACAATGTACATAGTTTAAATTAGATTTTAAATCAGAGAGCTAAACTTTCCATTCATTTACAATACAGCTCCTATTACAACGGAAGGACAAAAACATCTGACAAAGTTGTATTAACTTTAATATTGAATGTTATCCGGTGCATTACATTTATCATGATGACTGCACAAACTACTTCCTAATTTAATGGAAAAAGTTGCGCGATTACATTACCGTTATGCCGTCACGAAGAATAGCATGTCAACGGTTAATGTACCGTAATATTGTCCTGAGGTTTAAGCGCATTGTTTGCACTCTGCAGCCTGAGGGTGACTTTAAATCTCACTTTAACTAACGTAGCTTATCAAAGTTGGCAACCCTGGAACTGTCAACACAAGCGGATATCCGCCCCGCGATCGCTAAATAATTTTTTATTTATTTTTTTAAAGTGATTGTACTTACAGACACAGAGCTCCACAACATACGCGTAATAAGACCAACCGACAACGAGGTTTATAAACAGCACAGGTACCCAGTTCAGAGCCCGTTGACAGCACCTCAGTACGTGATAGGGCGCCATCTTTAATCCGTGTAGTGGGACTTTAGCTGGCGGTGACGTCACGGCCATGGGGTTTTTATACACTCGAGCCAAAGACGCTACAAGCGCGAGAGACTTAACTTAAGGTGCTGCGGACCATGCGCAGATGTGTTTGTATTTCTCGAGCCCCGCGTATGTAATTTGAATATAATGGTAACGCTGGAGTGATATGTTGTACTCACCAGTCTGCTCTGACGTGACTACAGAGACTATGAGAGACAAGGACAGACCAAAGTGTCCCTCTGTTATAAGTACTTTTAAACGTACCAACCAATGGTAACACACAAGTCAACCATCTTGCATTTAACTATCTTTGTTTGGCTGTGTAAATAAACTGTGTAAACTAAAATAGCCTATTTAATAGACTTTTATGTTAGAATTAAGAACATACTGAAGAGATTAAACAACTCAATTCATGGTCAACAGAAAATGTAGGCTACTTGTTAAATTCAGTGAGTTAAAGTATAAATTTAAAGCTTCACTAATTTAATATTTTGGCCACTTGGGGGGGAGAAGAAATCCACAACAAGCTGAAAACTCAACATGTGTTATATTACCACCGGAGTAATGGGAAACGCGTTAGCACACAATTACCTGTACACATTATAATTCATATGGTATCATATGACCACTCGGATTGTGAATACAACATCGCCATATCATTCCCTTTTATGTTGATATGGTAAACTTGTGACCAAACAGTTACTTATTTATACATCCAGCAGTTATGGAGCAACTTTTATTTTTTACAGACAGCTAAATAATGAGCTATAAATCTTTGTAAAGCCGATTGGTGCTTCTAATTCATGTCATATTTCTCCGTTGGTTCATGAGCGACCCCTTTCACATTGTTTTCACATTGTCATTTAATACATTGATATTGTAAAAAAAAAAAAAGCGTGGAACCATGTAAGACATTAAATGACAGGGACATTTGGGTTGATTATCACTCAATTAATATAACTTACTCAATCAGACTCCAAAAAAGACGAGTATATGTTATCTATTAAGCTATAGACATCAAAGAGTAACAAATGACGAATGATGATTTGATATTTTTTTCCTTTTCCTTTCAGTGAAGAAACATGATGTACATTGTGATATATTGCACAATAAACCCATATGAAGTATTTCCTTTTTATTTGTTCATTTCAATTAACAGCTTCCTTAGACACAATACCCACCAGATTAATGACCAACAAAGTTGAACGAATCATGATGAGCTCATTGTACATTGTATGCGGAGGCAGCTTTGAGAGAGGAGCGTGTGGCCTTGCGTGTGGCCTTGCGTGAGCGTCTGGGGGAGGAAGGAAGGGAGATAGAGGAGGGGGATGCAGAGGCAGGTGTGGAGCCAGGAGAAACCGAGCGTCTTCTGGTGGGACTGCTGCTGGGGGATCCTCGGGGTGAAGAGTACGGTGACAGGGCCTGGATCATACGGCCACTGCGCTCCTGAATCGCATGCTAAACAAGGACAGCCACAGAAGAAAGTTTTAATGTGTGTTTTTGTACTCACTTTTAATCAAACTTCAGTTATTCCCCACATTACACGGAGTGCCTTTTATCCATAGATTATCCCCTTTTCTATGATTTTAAAGTGAATTTACAGATTTGCAATGGAGATGGAGACACCATCAGAAATACCATCTTTGTTGCCTTAAAGGAAAATGTGTAAGCTAAATATATCACTTCATCATCTATCAAAATAAAAGAAACGTCCCCCTAAAAAACAAACTTAATGTACTGTTAATGTGGATTAATGTAAAAGTGAACGTGCCCAGGCCCCATCAGGTCCAAAAAGCTCCAGGAAGTTGCTAATGAATTCTCGCGACTTCTCTTCCCACTTGTGGATGAGGTCTTGGCTCTTCTCTTCCACTCTGTAGACAAAGTGTTTGGACTTTTCCTCCACCGTACGGACCGTCTCTTTCATCTTGTCCACCTGTTCCTGGATCCGGTATTTCTTCTCCTGTCAGTAAAAGACAAAGCAAATGTCCATCAGTACATTTGTGAGTTTGTTCTGTACTGTTTGTTTCAAAAACGTCAATATTCAGCTATTTAATTCAATTAAATATAATTTCACTGACACTAATGAACCCAACATTCAGTTCTCGTGCTGTGTAGCCTCTTTGCAGGTTGCGTCTGGCATAGATGTCATAGTCTCGGACAATACGAGTGATCAGATCAGATGTGGAGATGCCTTCTGTCCTCTCAGTGGCCACGAACATGCCTGACATTAAAACATAAGTCATTTAGTCAAGCGATATGAGAAATAACATGACTAAAAACCATTACATGAACATGCATGTCTTCACCTGCTTCCTTGATGTGCTTATAAACATCCTCTGATCCAGCAGAGGTGTAAGGGATGTCATCATGGGCCACAAAGTCAATCTGTGAGTGTAACATGTGTTCAGATTGATTGAACACCAGATACTGTTGTGTTTGTTGTCACTGTATGACATTGTGAGAGGCTGAGTGGCCTGTGACTGCGTGACCTGTGACCTTGTGTTTCTTGAGGAACTCTGTGGACAGGGACCAGGGAGCGTCCCGCACCACCTCGTCTACGTAACGGCAGTGCCTCAGGGCGTCGTAGCGTTCACCCTCGGTCATCACCGTGTAGCCCTTAAACTTGTGGGTGAGTTCGTCGCTGCAGACTAGAGACACACAGACAGAGTCTTAGACTTAGTATAAGCCGGAAGTAAGGATTCATCTTGAATCACTCAACTGGAAGATTTAGATCATTTACAGACCATTTTGTTCAAAGATTAAGATTAATATTCAGCTAATAAAGACCCATTTCATTTACACGCTGTTTAACTTTTCCCTGCATCAAAGGGTGTCGCATCCATACTTTACCTCCTACTAACAGGAAGGTGTTTGGGAACACATTTTTGGCCTGCATCAGGGCTCGAGCATGCCCCGAATGGAAAAGATCAAAGATACCATCAGCATAGACTCTCACCGGACGATGAGCTACAAGATAAGAAATTTGAAAACACGTCTTTAAATAACATGAGATTATGCAACCTCATTTTCTTTGTACCATCATTTTTAGAGGTTTGCTGATGTGTTTACTGATTTTAATCTGTGGCTCTTTAGTCGAATGGCGTGTCACACATTCCTGGAGACAAAGATCATAATGAAACCAATCCTAATCAGTCAAATAACTGGCAGCAAAACAACATTATACTGAGGCTTAAATCATTTTTTACAGCTGATATCAGCTGATAACAACATGCTGAAGCTAGTCTTCCCTTATTCATTGCTGACATTAATTGGCAATGAAAGCAAAAAGTATTGAGAAGTGTTACCTGGTGTGCCCCTTCGTGCTTGGGCAATGGTCAACTTTTCATGGGGGATCTCTGATTCACAGCCTGTAGTCTTGGCAAAAACAGCTGGCTCCCTCAGAGCCTGAATACAGAGAGAGAGAGAGAGAGAGAGAGAGAGAGAGAGAGAGAGAGAGAGA